CATTTTAAGCATAATGGAAGGATATTCTGAATCCAGGTTTTCTGTTGAAGAACATCTTTCAGCTTGATTGAATGTTGAGGTGACAGCATTTTCTTAATCTAGATCCATGTGTTTCAATGGAGAAATTTAAATTTTAATATTTCTGCAGTAGTAAAATATAAAAAATGGGAGGTAGAGGTTCAGGAAAGAGTGTGCCTTTGAGTAAGTTGCCCATTTTTATGGGTGTCTGAAGCCTCTAAACTGCATGTTATGGATGACAATACACTTCCTTCAACAGGTTGGAAAAAGCACTGGGCTTTAATTAAAGCATCTAGATTTCTGTATAGAGAATTACAGGTTATATTCTGACATCTGTGGATATTGGGAGGATATGGGGTATATGAGTCTGTGTGGACCACTTCAAGTCCAGGATGACTCCCACGAAATCAAAGCTAATGTGTTGGCTGCTCCGTTGGACTGTTGATGTCTGTACTTTCAGCAGTCTCACTTGCTTGGTGGCTCTGTGTGCTACTTGGCAGCCTTATTTGGCCGACTTGGCAGCCTTATTTGGCTGACTCTGGCCATTCGGGATATGTGGCACCAAATGGACAAATCGACTCTCAATTTTACGTGCAGGGGTACCTCTTGCTAACACAGGACTCTCTTGTGATGTAGGTAGATTTGGGGTTGGTTCATCAAAAAACTATCATGGCCCCATCGTGCTCCTTGTTGCCAGACTGGCAAATGAGCCCTTAAGCTGATGGACAGATAAGTAGTTCAGGTCTGTCAGAATTGGAGCTTATACTCTGAGTAGTGCAGGAGACATTAGATGCTTTGTGGACTTGTGATGGCTGCAGAAGCAGAATTGTGCAAATGTAGTTGTGCTCTATGTGAATTAAATTCACCTAAACACCAAGGTACTTCAACATTAAGCCAATTTTGTTGTCTGCCTGTTTGATGCCCAACTCGGGCAGCTTGAGTTTACTGTACTTCTGGTGTCTGTCTTGGTCCATCAGTATTGTATAGATGTTTTTTGTTTATTTTGGTTCTCAAATGGATCTGCTTTGCTGTAATGAGACCAAGTTACTCATTATATCAAATTAGTCAAAATACTATTTACATAAGTTATTGGTGAATACTAGATGAGAGAAATCAAGGAAGCATGTACTGCTGTGAGATGTCCAAAATTATTTATGTGCAGGAAGGTACTGTGTTGAGCTCTGGATCATGGAAATTGCTCAGGGCAACAGTTCCAGATATCATGTGATTTTCTTGAGTATTTTTCATCTCTAGGCATGTAAATTTCTGTGCTATAAAGATTTTCTTTTAAGAATGTCAGTAATGAAAACCAGTTCATTCTGCAGAGTATTAAATATTGTCTTCCTTTGAGACTGTCAGTACTGGATGAGTTTCTGCACACAAATGCTAAAGCAAAGGCAAGTTTTTGCAGCCTCTATAAATATGCTTTCTAAACCAGTAGCTAGATCAAACCTGGTAAGGTAAAATGTGGCTACATCCTGCAACAAGAACACTAGAGTTAAAATGATGACATCCTTCTTTTTGAGCATTTATGGGAATTTAAGGGAAGACAAAAACTTTATCTTCATATGTTTGTCTTAATGACTGTTGGGTGCTTAAGGACAAAAAATGTTAGTTTTCCTAATTTTTTTAAAGGAGACGAAGTGAATATCAAGTAGGACCTTGAAAACAACATTGGAATTAGATAATTAATAAAACTGTAATGGATGAGATTGGAATAGAAGTGTAGGTAGAAGTATGACTGATGTCAACTTAGAAGAAAGATAACGCTGTCTAGAAAGGAAAACTAGGTAGTAGAGAAGGGGAGTGCACTATTCAGAGATGCACTGTTTAGAGATCTCTTGGAAGCTCAGTAAATGAGTTTTTTGGTATGGCTACAGTGCTTAAACCATAAAAGTTCACCTCTGGAAAGAATTGCTAGCACTTTTCTTCTGTAATAGTGTATACCTTTCTTAGTGTTCTCCTTTAAATTACTAAAGTGGAATTACCAGGCAAAAGTACAAAGCTTTTAAGGGCTGACTAAATAATAGGTATTGTTTTTATGAACATTTCTGCTTGTAGTTCTGGATTGTTCAGTTGTGGTGGTCAAATACTGTTCCAGTCATAGAGGCAAAAATGCTTCTAATCTTAATGCAGAAGATGATAGAGCTTCTTTCTAAACATGAGGTAGCTCAGGTTCTCTTGAGTTTTCTTAGAGCAAATTACTATAAAGATAAACAAAAGGCCATGTTAACATCATATCTACTTAATCTGTAGCACTGTATTGCAAGGAGTCTTTAACTGGTTTAGAAAATGAGTAATTTTATATGTTGTATTTTGTTACAGGGATAGTTTCTCTTACTTTTATCTTCTCTGAAATAGCCTTTTTAAATGAATTTATTCATGCTTGAATGACATGATTTAGCTACCACTAAGCAGGAACGATTCTATCAGGTTCAAGCTTCATGGGTGTAGTAGAATTATCTCCTGACACTTGCATGGCTTATGAAGTGCTTGGCTGCAGTTCATTAGTCCCTTTTGAGTACCTGGTGAAAAAAATTTGAGCATTTGAAAGGCATTCCTAGTGTTGAGAGATGAATTACATTTTTGTCAATGTTTTTAATATAGGAACCTTGAATTGAAGCCTTGTTTAATAAATCAGAATGTGAGAAAGCAGATAATAAAATTTAGAACAGAGATGTAACTGATAGCTGTAGAAAAAATTGACAACAAAACATATGGATGTTTAATGGAAGGATTCTCTTGTCACAGCAAAGCCACATCGAACCTCTTGATTAATTTTTAGTGCATCTTCCAAAATGATTTCTCTGTGGGGTTTTTTTTGTCTTTACTGACTTCTGCTCCTTGTTGCAAGGATTTGTTTTCAGTCTTATTTGTTTTATGGTATTACGAAAAACATTCTAAGTCTAGGACTTAGAACTAAGCTTAATTTCCCATCTGTACTCTTAACAGAAATTATCTAGTTTCCCCTCAGGAACTGAAATGGTTATAAATTCATATCTTACTTGGCTAAGATTTTTTCCCCTCTCTACCCCTTTCTAACAAGCTTCTGTAATCATGGTGAAACAATTCATTGTGTGTCATGTTCACTGATGTCTTAGTTCATAACTAACATGTCCGATCATTCTCTCAGGTCACTGTGTAGTAATGATGGGATTGTCACTTGACTGTCATGACAAACTGTATCCCTATCTCCTGGAGCAGCCTTCAATTCAAGACAGCTCATCTGTTTTCTTTATATATCACAACTGTTTTCCACCTGAAATAAGCTTGTGCATCAATTACACCTTGGTGGTTCTTGTTCTGTTATGAACTACTGTGACAAAAGGTTGAAAAAAATCTGAGGCAAGTTTTAAAAATGTCTTATGTACTGTGTTAGCCTACACAGTTTTAGTCTATTGAGACCATTTGAGTTGTTCACTGTGGGCTCACTGTGTGTGCTCTGCGAGGTTCTAGTACTATCAGCTGGGTAGTTTTCACTAAAGGGATTTGTTCCTATTCTTCGTCCCTCCATGAGTCAGCTCAGTTCATGAGTGGGTAAGGGGTAGTCTAGTTTTTTATCCCAAAGTTCTATTGTGTTGACAATTTATTGATAGTATTTCTTTTAATTTATTTTGATTTATTAAGAACTTACTGGGAAGATTCATGAAATCTCAGCTGGTTTATATTAGTTGTCTTTTCCTACACTTTTTGAATTCTTGTAATTTGGGTTTCAGTCTGTAATGATTGCAATAGTTCAAGTTACTGAAAATATAACCTGTTAATGGGAGCTGCCTTGATTTCCTGCACTTCTTATTTTTCTCATTTCTTCACCCAAGCAAGAAGTGCCAGTGGTGTGATCCTGTGGGTTGGGATAACTAGGTTTGTGTGTGAACTCATAGCTTCTGTTGCTTTAATAACGGTTTTGTATTTTCAGAGTATCACAGTGCATATAATTTGTGCTTTTTCTATTTTAAAAAACTTAACATCAGAATCCAACTAACAAAACCCAAGAGCTTGGCAGGGTAAGCATTCTTTTGGAGAAGAAATTTACATCTTCAAAGCCTTAATAACAGAAACTTTTTTGTATATCATGACTTGAAATTTCTTAATTCCAAAACTGCATAACAAGTAAATACACTTGCAATGGAATGAATAAAATGTTACATTTCAAACTAGAATCATTGTATTCCAATACAAAATGGAATAAAAAATTAATCCATTTCAAAATAATATTTTGGAAAATGTAAACATAATAAACTGTTGAAACTCTTTTGCCTGCTGTTGGTCTTTTCACACTGATTTTTAGTTTGGATCAAAACTTGGAAATGAAACCTGCACTGTGTATACTGATGGAATGTGCTCTTATGTTTCTGTTGCCAGCTTCCAAAGTAAATGTGTTCTGACAGCTATATCCTACTAATTAATTAGCTGTGTATTTTTTTCCAGTGAACAACATGATAAAAATGATACACAACATGGCTTATTATTGCCTCTAATAAATTTGTTTGAGCTGAAAACACTTAAGTTTTACTCTGTAAGACCATGGCTTTAGCTCCGATAACCTCAAAGGTCAGCTTTTTCCTTTCTGTGATAAGGATTGTCTACTTCTGTGCTGGAGTAGATTCAAACGAGACCATTTCAACATTTGAAGAGGCTGGGAGGTGTGGTAGTGTAATTTCTGGAGGAATTGTCTTTTGGAGCTCACTCTGAGCTCTCTTATCTGGATATGACAGCTGCGAGAAGAGGGTTCATTGCAAATATGGTCTCTAAATGCTGTAAAATATAAAAAAAAGAGAACCTCATTTGTTGTTGATAATGCAAGTGAAACAAAAGGCTATAATGGGTTTAAATTTTATATGCTGTCTTAATGAAGTAATAAGCAAAATATGTTTAAACAATATTTTTTTTACAGTGATGGTTAGTATTAATAACTGAAGTGTAGATGGTTTAAGACTTGGAAAGTCTAAGCATTATGCATGTCTATATATATGTGCACACAGGAAACCTCGACCTGTCTCTCAGCTGGTTGCACAACAGGTTCCTCAGCAATTTGTGCCCCCTACACAATCAAAGAAAGAGAAAAAAGACAAAGTAGAAAAGGAAAAAAGTGAAAAGGAAACAACAAGCAAAAAGAACAGTCATAAGAAAACCAGGTAAAAAATTAAGAAACTTTTGCAGTATTCATAAAATGTAATTTACAAACAAAAATAAGAAAGTGTTCATTGATTTTACTGCTTTCTAAATCCTGTGGCAAGCAGGTTATATTTTGGTGTGAAGTTTTATTGGTTTAGGCTGTGTATAAAATACAAAGAAGACCTGCAGTGTGTACTTGTGGCCAGAAGATGGAGACCAGCTGAACAGAGAAAAAAAGACTGATTTTAAGGGTTATTTAGTATATTGTTTTAAGGGTTTATAGAAGTATTTTTCATACCATACAAAACTGTTGATAGGTAAATTGATGATACTAATCTCTGGAAAAAAGAGGGGATGGGAGTGATTAGTTTTCATGCAAAATAGTAGTGGGAGGAGAGAGAACCAGTACCAGACTACAGATGAGTAGGGAAAATAACTTAGTTATTGATGGCCTTGTAGAACCCTTCAGCTTTGAACGGCTGAACAAGGGCATGAATTAATGTGACAGGATAAGGTATGTCAATTACCTAGTGATAGAACTCTCTATGCCACATCTGGGATGCTGAAGGACTCTTAGAAGTGAAAACATGAAATATTGCAGTACAGACAAGGAGTTGTAAAAGCTGTGATCTTGCTGTGAGGAAAGAGGGTGTAAACTGCTAAACAAAAGCAGCAGGTTTAACTGCTAATTCATCATAATCCAAGCATAATGTTATTGTAGCAAGAAAGCAAGAATGCTGTGTCAAAAAAGCTGTAAAGTGTATAAGACATGTAGTCTAAGCAAATGTGAGAGGAGCTATTGATTTTTTTTTTTAAGCACTCTCAAATAGCCCAGCCAAGAAATATCCTCTGGGATTAGTTATGCAGAGAAGTAGCAGATGGTTCTGTTGTGCCTGAAATAGGATCATTAGGATCAGAACAAGGGAGGGACTGAGAGTCAGTAGAGAGCAGTCATTAGGAAAGTCATGGTTAGCATTTAGGACACTGAGGTGTTATTTCCTTTCCTTTATTTCTTTTTTAAATACAAATTTACAAGCTTACCTCATGCAGCTGAAGAACTTCAGTTATAAAGCATTTGATGTTAGCATAGTGAGCTTTAGTTTAGCCAATTATAAATTGGAATACTAATGAGTAAATTGCAATAATACAGTAAAAATGCAAAAAGTGAGATAGGGAAAGAGTTTGAGAAATTTGAAAAACAACTAAAATAAAATACTGGACTGAAATACCAGTATGACCTTGCAATTAAGAATTGATTTTTATTTTATTGCTTCAAACAGTTAATTTTTTCCAAGAATTGTTTCACTAGGTACAATTATAAGTTAAGAATGCTTGATTAGTTTAGGCAGATTTCTTCAGTATTCTTTGAGAAAAGGATATCCTTTTATTTTTGCCTTAAAATGTTTATATTATTACTGGAAGCAACTATAAAAATCTTCATCCATACTCAGTATAATTAATAAGCTCCAGGTACACAGCATTTGTGCAAGTTGATAATTCTGAAGTTTTCACTCTATTCCCATGAAGCGTATCAGCAGATTTTTCCGTTTCTTCTGAGTTGCTTCAGTCATGCTGCTTAGGCCTCGGGAGCATGATGTCAAAGCGTCAAAGCCTGTCTGAGTTCTAGTGGAGAAAAGACATCAGTTGTTTCAGCTGAAGTGAATGAGAACCAATTCTACTTCAAACAAAGTTGATGGTAGGGTAAAGGTTAGAGCTTTGCTGTTATCACACCTGCAAACATTTGTCATTTTATTACAGCATGAGCCAGTGGTTGCTGTGGAGTCAGTTAAATGCACAAACCGTGCTGTTCATAACTGCTTGTATGAATTCAGCTGTCTGGTACAAGTTTTTCATGGTGATCATGGGAAAGGACTAAATTGAAAGTATTTTATGCTTGTCACTAGCAAAAATATGATGGCAAAACATAAATCAAATTATTCTTTAGTTTTTTGTTGTGAAAAATCAAACGATTGAAAGGTTTAATGAAGATACTTACTCTGTCAACATTATGTATCATTCATCTCTGCATAATTTAAAACAGAGCCTATACCAGGAATACCAGAGTTATACTGTGAACATAAAGTCCAGTTCCAATAGTATACTAGTGGTCCTAATGAGGTTTGGAAATGAGGTAACACCTGCTGCAAGTTAACAATGTGCTGTTGAATTCAAAAGACAGACACCAACATCTTCATTACTGAACATCATTTTCTAGTTAGAATTGCTGCTTCAGGCTGCTGCAGAGATGGATGTTTCCCTGGATCAAATTTATAACTTTGCATAGTTGCAATAAAGAAAGAATTATGTTTTAAAAGTAAAAACCTTAATATATTGCTGCATAGTGACATTATTGAAAATGTCAACTTCTAAATAGTTCTAGGAGATGGTAATGTGTTATAGTCAACTATTTCCATGTAAAACATACTAAGAAACACTCCACTGTTAATATTGCTGGTACTTTGTTTTCCTACATAGTGTTGCAAAAAGAAGTCTTACATACGCATTTGTTTTCCTGAGCTCCTAAAAAGTAAGAGAGAGACAAGGTAATAAGATGGTGTGTGTGCTTTTAATATGATTATTTGCTTTATTTAGGCCAAGGTTGAAAAACGTGGATCGAAGTAGTGCTCAGCATTTGGAAGTTACCGTTGGAGATCTGACAGTCATTATTACAGACTTTAAGGAGAAGACTAAGTCACCACCTGCTTCCAGTGCTGCTTCTGCAGATCAACACAGTCAGAGTGGTTCTAGCTCTGACAACACAGAGAGGGGAATGTCCAGGTCATCTTCACCCAGAGGAGAAGCATCGTCACTGAATGGGGAATCTCATTAAAGTTTATTTCCTCCAGTTTCATTAGTCTCTTCAAAACATGCAAATACGTAAGTTCTGTCACCACATTTTCATGACAGATGAGTCATACATAATTAATATGTTGACTGGAACATGATGCAGTTTAAAAAAAAAGAAAGAAAATAAGTGCAGTGATAGAATCAGTAATAGCATGAAGCTGAGTCAGGGAAGGTTTAGGTTAGATACCACAAAAGGTTTCTCACCCAGAGGGTGGCTGGGCACTGGAACAGGCTCCCCAGGGAAGTGGTCACAGCACCAGCCTGACAGAGTTCAAGAAGTATTTGGACAACACTCTCAGGCACATGGTGTGACTCTTGAGGCTGTCCTGTGCAGGGCCAGAATTTGGACTTGATGATCCTTTTGGGTCCCTTCCAACTCACCTTATTTTGTGATTCTATAATAATTTAAATGCTATCTACAAATGCTTATGAAGCATCTTCAGACCAACTTTTTAATCTACATGTGTAAGGGTGCCATGAAAATGTGGTTTGAATGTTCATTATGCAGTGTTATTGCTATGTCCATTTTCACTTTTAGTTTAGCAAATTCTAACACAACTCTTGGAATCTCTACTATTGGCATGTACTAAATTAAATTTTTATAACATAGTTCAAGCTGCCTAAATATGTATTATTTGAGAATTGTGAAACATAGTTATATGTATGCAAGTCAAAGATCAACTTAATTATTGCTGCAACAGAATTTTCATAATAATTATCTTCTTAAAAACACCTGCTGGTACTTGGTGTGGTAAAATAGGAAAAATGTTATTAAAGAAAACATTTGTATGGATTTTTGCCAATGTTTGACACATTTTACTAGATTACTGTTACTGAATTATGTTGATGGTTTTACCAATATTTTTTGACACTTAAAACACTTATTGTAATGTTTACAAGCAAAATAGAAAACACATTCTAAGCATTGATTAGTTAACCTTGCAATTCAGGTAAAGTACTGCATTGTCGCTGTACACTGGTATTTTGTGTTGTGTAACAAATACTGAACCTCAGATGGTGATGCATTTGGCAAAAACTATTTGGAAATATGAAAGTTTGGAAAAGCTCTATAAAAAGAACAGATCTGCAGTTCTTATTTCTGCTTAGTGCTGTTTCTTTGCCCCAGATTTTTCTAGTGTCACATAGTCACTTATTTCAGTACAAGAATATCAGATGTTGCACAAGAATAAGGAAATAACAATTCTATTATTTTTTTGTTCTTGAATCAATTTCTTTAATATTGAATTGGCCTGTTATAATATATTATGTCATAAATAATTTGAAAAACACTCAGTATCCTACTTTATGGCATAAGCTGTCAACATTTACGCACTTAGCAATATACTGATAAAGAGCAGAACTATTTACAATACCATCTGGTATTATGTAAAATTACCAATAAAATATTTTTGTGAATACAGATTTTGCATTTTTGTTTACAACCAATAAGTGTTTTGATACATACATACAATTCATGTATAGATTTTAAATTATATATTCTGGTTCAGTACAAAAGTCCATTTAGCTCCTTTTAGTGAGGTAAGGCACTTACATTCCCATGAGCCTTTTCTTTTTCATTCAAAGTAAATATATTTTTAAGCCTATGTGAAAGTTGGATGGACCTTCTTGGTAGTGAATCCAGCCCCAAGTTATTACCCACATATGATATGTCTTCTTGACAGCTTAAAATAATGGATTTTTGTAGCCCCTGACAATTGTGATGTTTGGTGGTTTCTTGTAGTAATGTAATTTTCTGTTTTTAATGCAGTACTTCTACAGGCACAATGGTACTGTTCTATTTTGTAAGATGCTAGTTGTGAACTACAGTTAGTTGCATAAAATGGGAGTCTGATGTGATATCTGAGAACATACATACCTCATTCCTTGGTGTTGCTGTTTAAACTTTTTAGACATCAAATGTTAATTATAGGCTGTTTCAGATGGATAACTACTGACCTGTTTATTATGTATTCTGCTTTATCTTACTAAAAATAGGATGTCTGTTCCTTGCTGTTATCTGGCCAAATTTAGTATCTGTAAAACATGCTTTTTAAGGTTCTTAAATGTTTTTGGGGCCGGGCTAGTGTTCAGAATAACACATGCTAGCTTTTAAAAGAAAAAAATATATGCTTCTCAACTTTATTTTTTTATATTTTATTTTTAGGTGGGACTATTTGCAGAATATACTGATGTAATGGATTACAAAAGAGTTGAAACTGTTTAAAGCAAACAGTTTAAATATAGTAAATCTCATTGCAAGAAGTTTTATGAAACGTGTTTCTAATTTTTAAACATAATGAATGCTAACACAATTCAGAATGTCTTGCAAAGAAATAGTAATCTATTACCAGTAATTCACTAAATGGGAAATGTATTTTTATTTAAGTTCATGTGAATAAACCACCCAGCATTGCCAACAAAAGGACTCTACTTCAGAATTAAGTAGCTATTTGATTTGAAAGGAAGGATGGAGTAGATTTTAGTATGATTCAACTGTCTCTAGAGAATAATCTCAAAAATGTGGTACAAGTATGGTTATCAAAAATAATGCAGAAAGTCTCACTGTTCGTTATGGAACAAGACACTGAAGAGCAATTTCTACTACATGTGCTACAGAAGTCAGCTAGGATCTTAAAAGCTATGGTGGTTTTAACTGAACATTAGGTTGCCATTGTTTTATTGCAATGATGCTTGTTTTATCATTAAGCAAAGTTAAGTTTTTGCCTGTTTGATGATTAAAAGAATATGACAATACTGACAGCAGAGTAGACAAATTCTAAGCAAAATACTGCATTTGAATCTGTTCATAATATAATTTAAATGAACTTCACTTTCATAATTTCTAAATAATTTTGACTTGTAGTAATCCTAAGTCCTTTTTTCTAACTGTAAATATATTTAAAAACATCTTTACTCCATTTATAAAAAGTGAAAATTTAATGTTGTAATGTGTTCTGATTAGCTATTTTTCTCTGTGATTGCTCTCTGCATAAGAACTGTTATTTGTTAAATCTATATATGCATCAGTCTTCAACAGCCATACATCCTGGGATGTTCGTGAAATGGTGGCCCCACAAGGACAAGTGTGATAGTGTTCCATGTAAATGAGTTCCTTTATGTGCTGATTGATTGTCTGGTTTCAGAAAGGAAAAGGAGAGAGAAATGGGGGAAAATGAAGTATAAATAGTTCATTTATAAAGTGTACAGTAATTCATCTCTTACCTTCCTAACTTTGCTATTAATTATAGGTGGTATAAGAAAAAGAACAAATATACAGTTGATTGATCTCTTTTTTCATGAATTTAAATCTACATATTGGAGATAAAAATTCTTCTACTTAGTAGCAGGTTGAATTATACCATATAAAATATTGATTCTGACAAAGGAGGTAGTAATAAATAAATGACATTTCAAAATTTAAAATTCTTGCTATTAAAAGTCAATAATTAAGAATATGACTGGAGTTTTAATCTAGTATGGGTTTAGATATTTGATGTTTTGGAGCATAGATTGTAAAATCTCAAAAACTGATTTTATAATTTGTGCACTTAACATTTTTTTTTTTATATTATGAATAGCACATTTTCAAGTAGCCATGCGAGACAGTACTTTCTAGAATTTGTTCAATTGGTTCACTGTAGTGATTAGGCAGGTCTTGTAAACTTCACACCTTTCATCCTAAATTCTTTACTTTTTTCCTCTGACAGTTTCCTATGTTTTGCTGATGGATTTTACTTTGTTAATAGGATTGATTTGGCATGAAACTGTCTATTGTGTACTTTTTATCCAGGGTTCTTTAACTATATCTGTTTGGGGTTTTTTTCCTGTGACATGCCTTTATTTGGCGCTTCTCCCTCCTAGGGAGTTTGGGTATAATTAATTCAAAATCAGAAACTGTAGGGAAATAAAAAGGCATTTACATTTAATTTCTCCAAAGGCAACAGCAAGTGCTATACTTATAGTAAATTTAGCCTGTGCTAACTCAGGAATAAGATAGAAAAGATAAAAACTAATGCTGGTTTTGGCTAGTGGACCAGTCAGTGAAATATGGCATTTTGAAAATGCATACTTCTATCTCAATGTTAAGATTTTGGTGTGCTGGAAACACAGCTTGAGCTTTCAGAGGTTTTCTTAACCTGAAATATGACCCAATTTATGTCAGAGCAGTCTCAGTTTGAAAGGTTGTAACTTCAAACTAGCTAAAACTGTGCAGTAAAATCAGTGAAACCATAGAAGTTCAGATGGTTTTCTTTTGTGCTGTCAAAGTTTTAAAAAGAGGAGAAACTGTTAAAAGACTTGGAAGACTTGTCTAAGACCACAATCATCTTGAGCTTAGGTTGACATCTAAAGAACCTATGTTTTAACAAGAATTAACAGGATTTAGCCACTAACTAAACTTCAAGAATTGCTTCCTAAGTTAATTACAAATCAGTGGTCTATGGAAATTATTCTAACATCTTGTCTAGAATTGAGTAAATGGTACAACAGCAATGGAAAACTGCATCCTTGTTGGAAAGTACTATTATCCAACAGCAAGTGATGTTTACATGACTTTGCTAAAGTCATAAGACATTATGCCAAAAGATTGTGATATGTCTGTGAACAAGGCTTAAACTGTACCATTAGATTGAAAGAGTGAAAGAAAATGCAGTGAAAAAAACAAATTAGTTTCAGAACCTAGAGTCTTAGTAGTGCAGGATCTTATTACAGCCTCTATTTAAGTGTGTTGGTAAAAATTAATAAAAACAAATGACCACTGAATCACACCAATGTATTCAATCCTAATCTTGCCCCTTTTATTATGTGAGACAGATAAAAGTCATCAGAATGAACTTCCTCTGTCTGCTAATGGTAGATTTTAAGAGCAGACAGTTTAATGGGCACAGGAAGTTTTAGGTGTACTTTTAAGAAGTTAAACATGGAAGATGAAGGGCAAAAGCATATTCCATAGCTCATAATGGTTATTATTAAAAATGATTACAAGAGATTGCTGGTCCCATATGGGGTTTTGTAAAAGACAAAATTGTAACCTTATCTAATCACTCTTTGTTCCATATGCTCAAAGAAAATTACCATAAGAAAAAACATTGTTCAGTAACAATATTCT